TTGCAGCAAGTATTTCTTGATGAGGAGCAATTATCTACAAGACACGCGCCCGGAGCATCATATCGTTCCAATGAAACAATTACATCAACACCGTTGCCTTCTCCAATGTCTTACACAGACACCGATTCCTCCAGAGCGTCATTCTATAGTAATGACTTAATATCAACACCACATCATTCTTCATCTTTGCAAAATACAGAATCTTCCGTGGTCCACAATATTCAAGTGAAAGAAGAGAAGATGTTTCCTCTCAACAGCCGTTATCCATTCAGAACTATATTACTCACTTCAGCGCATAAAACAATGTATTTCTTTTCTTTGTATTTTTTAATAATAAAATTGGATATGTTGCAACTACTGTATTTATTATAACTTACCTTAGAGTCACACTCAATCGTTCTTCTGGTGAAATGGTCTCACGGAAATTCGACATTTTTTTAATTGGTTCTCTTATGGCATCTACAATGTAGTTAAATGTATCCTGATTCATGCGATAGTAATCAAAAAACTTTTTCTCGTCCTTTTTCAAATCATCATATAAATGATGAAATTCTCCGAATTCTTTTCGTTTTGCTAATATGTCATTAACCCAACATTTTTTTCTTTTTAATTTTAATCGCCGTCTAACAAGGTAACTATTTTCCAAAAGAATATGATCCATATTAAGTATTAATAATTATTATAGTATGCTTATTTGATAAATTACTACATATGACTGACTTCGTACAATGCGAAAACTTGTCTATAGTGGACGATACCACATATGCGAAATCTGACGAAATTATTCCTCCGATTTCTGACGAAAATATTTCGGACGAAAACGCATCCAAAGGACGACCGGCCTTACGCTTTATTTTTCTCGAAGTATAACCCTATCAAACCAAACACACAAGAAATCATCTCCGTGAAGTCTGCTTACATATATCGAAGGAAACTCTTTAAAAGTTTAAAGTTTTAAGTTCCATCAACCATTTTGTGCCATACAAAATCCGAATCTATCAATTAAAGCCAGTCTCATTGCATTTAACTGATTTGGCTGTACCCGACTATAGAGTTGGACAATTTTTTCTTGCAATTCTGCTAAATTGGTGGCTCTGGTTTGAATGTTTTCTTCTTGAAAATATACGCTTGGCATGTTAATTAGTTGTTTTCAACCTTTTACCACCACAGCTAAAAATCCGAAATGATAGATCATAAACCTGCTGTACAGATAAGCACCGCCTATTCGTCTGAGGAAAAATAGTGCACTCGTAGAGGAGGTACACCGTTTATACTATCTGTCTGTTTACTGAAGTGCGTTATACAGATTTGGAAAAATATTTACGGAAGATAGGATTTTTAATGCAATAACTCAGATCCTTTGATGTGCAATTAACCAGTGTAAATTTTAATACAACGTCGCGATGTTTTATAATTAATTCATTTGTTCGACTGGAGTCTCAGTTGATGCGGATGCTGCCAGTGTAAGTGTAAAAACGGAACACACCTAGATCGCATCTCAATTCAACGAAAACGTACTTATTTATAAATGTAGATATGGAATTAAACATATTTTATAACAAAAAAAAATGGTTGTTTTATTGCCAAAACGGCTTGAAAAAAAGTAGATTTCTAAAATTAAAAATAAAAAGAAATTTTAAAAATAAAATAATAATATTACAATCTTTTTAATTTAAAATATATAAACAATATTTGGAATAAAAAATGTATTTAAGTATAAGTTTTATAATTCAAATAATACCTGATGAAAACAAACAAAATTGATGTTAATAAAACATTATTTATTATGTGTAAAAACCGGACTTTCAGGAAAAATCCGTAGGAGCTACACTGTCGGCGTGCCACATACCCTACTACAAACCGCTGAGGAGAGGTAATCCAGTGGAACAAATAAATTAGTTATAAAACATCGCGACGTTACATAGAAATTTACAGTGGCTAATTGCAAATCAGGGAATCTTAGTAATTGTATTAAAAATCCTATGTTCCGGAAATAAAATTCCAAATGTGTATGTATGTTTAGCTCACGCTGTTGTCATATATCTAAATTAAGTGTTCTTTGTTAATTAATCAAGTAATGATATAATCGTTTAAAAAATAACAGTTACATGATTACTTCATGTAAGTTTTGTTGGGGCAATACTAATTTTCATCCTACAATGAACTGCAGTATAGTCGGACAATTTTCAATTAAAGGTGACTAATCTACAAATTGAACTAAACGGTAGCGGCAACCATGGAAAATGTCAGCAGTAAATTCTTACCGGGGTAATTTTTATTGTGTATGCTTCGCCCATGTAAATAACTGAAAAAGTAAGGTAGCACCATAAAAATTAGCCCCCGTAACAAAGTTGGTGCGATTCAAGAGTGTATAGTGAGACAAGTTTATTGAATAGTTTAAAACATCGGTAAACTTACGAATATTTTGCTGGTCTGTATATATTTATGTTCTTAGACCGAATGGGAATGAGAGAAATATAATATTTTAATTACTATTTAACTGGTAATAAGCCACAATTAAAGATAAAAATACGTTTATTGACGTTTCAATTTTCACTTCGGAAATCGTTCCCAAAATACAAACAGTAAATTAAACAAATTTTGTTTTAGTTTATGCATTCAACATTATATGTGTGCATAGGCGTAGTGTGTTCTATTTCCTGGGAATATATTTATTAAATAGACTTTATTATTAACTTTAAAATAGTTTTGAGGTACGTAAAGTAAATTTGAGGTAAGTTTATTCTTTATATAGTATTAACCCATTAACGACCACTCAATATACAAAGAAAAATTTGACAATTAATTTATTAGATTGGATTAAAAATGCATAAATTAAGACTACTTTACAAACAAAAAGATTTTGTTTCTCATTTTCAAGGAAAACAGTACAATTTTTAATAAAGAAACATATTGTATCTTAAATGTAAATTAAATTATAAGGTGAAAATTTTCGAAACATTCAGGGTATAGATGCATTCTACACCTTTTACATAAATAAATAGTATTACTTTTGCATATCCTATATTCTTGCACTATCGTCTCTTTTTGTAATGTGGCCAATATTGTCGAATCTGGTTTCATCTGGTAAATCAAATTTAGATTGACGTCCATGTACTAAGTTTGACACCGATGTAGCGGTTTCTTCACGATTATAAATTATAAATATAAATCTATGTCGGCTCATGCTTTCTCTTATAATGTACACTTCTTTATCCTCATCATTTGACCAATGCATATCAACTTGAAGCAGAGTGTAAATGAGATAATATACATATGCTAATTTTTTTTTAATCTACGTTATTCATTTCAAAATCGTGACGGTTATTCTACGATTCATAAATATTTGTAAAATATAGAATGCTCTCAATTAGTTTTTTATTAAAATCGAGTGAAAAAACTTCAATATATGACTTGCCTCCATGGTTGGCTTTTATATTGTCTAAATATCAATCAGACTGATGTTGAATTACTACTGAGCACGAAGGAGTATCTGTTGTTACAACTTAAGACAAATTTGGATTTACTATTTTTGCCTGGTTTTTTCTTTGGACGTTTTATCTGCGGTTTAGAGGAATATCATAATCAGAATCGTCAATCACTTGTATTTCATATGTACCTGCAATATTCGATTTTATCGATTTTTTACAAATAATATCATCAATGTCTTCTACATCAGAAACTTTCTAATCTAATCTCGACGGCAAATAAACATCACATTAAGTGAGTCGGCATTTTCACAATCTGAGTCTTCTTCTAACAAAGCTGTTAACTCTTTAGTAGTTAATGCCATCTTTATTTCATATTTCAAAAATTGACTGAAATAAACTAATAAACGCATTCACATGATAATAGTTTAGGTTAGTTCATTTTAATTTATAAGAACTTCATAATATATTTTTATATAAACAAATAAACACAACGAAACTTTCAAATTAAGTTAAAAAAAAATGTTTACAGCACACATCAATTCTAGAAATAGAGAATGATATGTATTGACGAGATCGTATCTTAAAATTTCGGATTGTTTAGTCATTAGTTCTGTATTAGGTACTCTCTAATAAGAATAAAATTTTACTTTATCTGTCAAAAGACACATGATAATTTAATAATTATATCGGTCTTAGATTTAATTTTTACGTAATTACTTATGTGTTTAAATAAATAATTAAATTTTTTTTGATACGCCTCTGCAAAATTGATAAGTGAAATGATTTCGTCGAAAAGTTGTCGTTAAGGGCTTCGTTAAGTGCGATGTTGCCAAGTAATCACCTTCAATTAAAAATTGTTTTAGTATAGATTTAAATATTATGTTACACTCATGTATCCGACTAATATTTTAGAAGGAATGATGTAACAGAAATTTTGCAACACTTTGAAAGTTAGACACGTTACTCCAACAAGCGTGGATTATGTTTCACTCATATTTAAACAATTAAGTGTTATCTTTGATCCGCATACTGAATAACGTATGCGGTAGTTGAAAAATTAGTATACTAATAATATACAGGGTGTCCCAGAATAAATTGGACATTACCTAAAGAATGTTTCATTTTTTTTTTCTGTTATTATTTTTTAATATATTGCAAACTATTAAACCAAATGAAGTAAAATTTGGTATCGTGGTATTATATAATTGAAGCAAATATTTTATTAGGGATTTTTTTAAATAAAATATTGGCAACAAAAATTACAGTAATTGTTAAAAAGGTTGATCATATAATAAAATATGTAGTCTAAATATTTTGCTTAATTTTTCTCTTATTTCAAGAGTCTCGAGAATCTTCGTAATGTTGATTATTTATTAAATCATAAACAAGTAATTTAATATAGCCCAAAAAGTAAAAATTTAAGCGATTTATATTGGGACTATGTGCTTGACATGGATAGACAGTACCATATTGAACTAGATAATTTTTAACACCTTTTTATAGAGAATAACTTTATTTCGTAAAATTATATAAATATAATATAAATTAGAGAATTAATAAAGAACTTACTCATGTCATGCTACCGTATTTTCTACCAGGAGGCCAAACCGGTACTTCTGAGGAGCTAGGCGTAGGTGTTCGCGTAAACGCGTTGGTGATTGAATCTCTAAGTCTCTCTCTGAATGTTTTATACTCCATATCACTATACTGTCTGCCGAAGTTGAAATCAGCAACTTCAACTATAAACCTAAAAACGTAAAAAAATAATTATTCGGTAATTATTATTATATTTATTTAACACAACACCGAGAATTTACAAAGCAAACCTTTCAAGAAACCCTGCTGATCAATTATATCATTGTAAATAAATTACAATTGTAACAAGTTGTCTATTTAACAGTTCAGCAATTTACATTTTTATAAGAAGATACGTCGATAGCAATTAAAGTAAACTGTATATCCAAGCTTAATCAAGCCATTGAGAGCAGTGCTGAGAATAATTATATTCCACTATGCACCAACAATTTACACATATAAATTTCCATCATTATTGTACTCATTGCGTCGAGTAAGGACGATAATAAATATGCGAAGAAGGTTGCATTTCGATTTAATTTGAGTCTCTTACCACTCCCTGACATGTGTTTCTGAGTCTACCCGTCATCAGAAGGAGTTTGTAAGAAGACTCAAACCAAATCAAAACGCACCGATTACTCTGGCAATTACAGGGAAATAACTACCAGAGTATGCAACTAGAGACCTCTAGTGAGGAAAGATGAAGATACGTCGATAGCAATTAGAGTAAACTGTATAACTCTAGTGAGGTCTCTAGTTGCATACTCTGGTAGTTATTTCCCTGTAATTGCCAGAGTAATCGGTGCGTTTTGATTTGGTTTGAGTCTTCTTACAAACTCCTTCTGATGACGGGTAGACCCAGAAACACGTGTCAGGGAGTGGTAAGAGACTCAAATTAAATCTAAACGCAACCTTCTTCGTATTTTTATAACATTTAAAATAGTATTCAAATGTCTATACTCATTCAAAAGAAGATAGCTAAATGTATGTAAGTAAAGACTTGATACTGTAAATGAACGCATAATAAAAGTTGAACTCGATTACGCGGTTGTCGCTAGGCAACCACGATGAAAAACCAAGATGCTTTTAATATAATATCAACAGTAGAAAGTAAATTTTTATGTTGGGAGACTTTAATGGACACGGGATATAGAACAAATGATGCCGAATAATCGACTACATTGTATCTAGACAGACTTCCCGGCTACGTATGTACGATGTTAGATTTTACAAGGGGGCATAATGTGGAACGGACTATTATCTTTAAAGACAGAAATCTTTTTCCCGTTAGCGACATATTCTGAGAATCTAGTAAATTTACATTATCGAGAAATGTGTGGAAAACAAATACTAGATCGAAGGAATACAAAATAATGGAGAAGTGAAGATATTAGAGTAAAAGTAGCAAAGAAAAAATGCGCACATCTGGGTAATGATAAAAGCTATAGAAGATCGGAAATACTACACAAAATACTGTACAGATATCAAAAAAGCAGTGCTGAATACAAACCTTGGAACGGGATAATAAATATACTAGAGCATAGGCTTTAGCAGAGCAAGCAAAGCATAGAGAACAATAAAATCCCTCAGAACGGATAAAAAGCAGAGTTCATAGCAGCCTGATACCGCTAAAAGATTGGAAATATCAAAACCTATTGACTGATGATCGACCACAATTTCTTATTGAAGATAATGACCAGCCTTGCCAGTCGGAGATATTTTTTATAAAAGAAAACTTAATAAAACCATCTGATGTAAAAAAAAGGCCTCATGACAACGAAAAATAGACGAGACGTTTCTAGACTTTACAGCAAGATTATAAAAGAAAGTATAGAGAACCAAGTTACGGAAGACGAGGAGTAAAATGGATTCCATGCAGGAAGGTCTTGTACGGAACCTGTTTTGCCTAAAACAACTTTTAGAAAAAACGAAGAGCCAGAAACTTAGAAACACATATGATATTCGTAGATCTAAAAAAACCTATGATAGCACACCCCTCAGTAAATTATTACCTGAAGTAGAATAGTGTAAGTGATTAGGAATTCAAGGCAGGGAAAAAGCTTCCGGGAAAAATTGGAAAAAGAATTTCCAATTACTAAGGATTAAGATAAGCTTGCAAAATGGCTTCAATATTATGGAAAATTATTTACATTCCGTCTACGACGATAAAAATGTCGACTTATGGATGGTACAAGCGATCCAATGAGAATAAGAAACTCATGGATGCAAAACCTACGCAAGTGGTTTGGCCTGACATCTGTAGAGCTTTTTAGACTAGTCGTCATCAATGGATAGAATAATAGAAGAAAAAATATGTTACTAATTAGCTATTACCAATTACAATGTGGTTAAGTATTTCTTATATTTTATTTAATATAATTATTTTTTATTTATTTTTAAATCGATTTATTGTGGTACATTTAGAGAGTGACTTCCAACGTTTATTGTTAAGTGTTTAGCTGATTAAAGGTTACATATTTTTTTAATGTACAATATTTAAATCCAATCAACTTTGCATAAATTGGAAGCTACATTTACAGAGCCATCTATCTTATGGGCAACTAAGATGTGAGATATTTTTCATTAAGACCATCTGTTGTTGTGGTAATAATTACCAATTATTACAATGACAGTGACAATTATTACAGTGACAATTATTACAGTGACAATTATTGACAAAAGAATAGCATAAGGATCATCATCATCATCATCTTTGGCTCGACAATCCTCTGTGGATCTTGGCCTGCTCTAAGATTCGTCGCCATTCTGTTCGGTTTTTGGCAACATGTTGCCATCTTCTGATTTTTAATATTCGTAAGTCGGTTTCTACTCCATCTAACCACCTAATTCGCGGTCGGCCTTTACTTCTTTTTCCTACAGGTGTTCCTGTGGTTGGCTTTTTAGCAATTGTATTTTCTGGCATTCGCATTATGTGTCCAGCCCATCTAAGTCGCTGTGTTTTAATGAACGTTATGACATCTGGCTCATCGAAGAGCTGATACAATTCAAAATTATATCTTCTGCGCCACTGCCCTTGGTGGTTTACAGCTCCAAATATTTTGCGGAGTATTTTACGCTCAAATATTCCCAAAAGTCTTTCATCTTCCTGCGTTAGTGTCCATGTTTCTGCTCCATATGTGAGGACCGGCCTCAGCAATGTTTTGTATATAATAATTGTAGTTCTTCTTTGAATGTTTCTTGAGTGGAAATGCTTTTGGAGTCCATAGTATGCCCTATTTGTAAGATTTATTCGTCTTTTGATTTCTTCGCTTGTTTTATTGGTAGCAGTCAATAGCGACCCAAGGTATGTGAAGTTGTCAACACGTCCAAAGGTATGACTTCCAAAGACTGTTTCTCGTTCGTCATTTGCTATCGGAATAGCATAAGGATCCTTTTCCTTATTCGCAGGCTACCAAAACTACGGCTAAGCAGCCACCAGCCTTAGAATGTCTATTATAAAAAGATATTTTTAAACATTGATAAAACCTCCACTACTGTTGTTCATATTAACCTTTTGGCTTATGATGTTTCAACTCAAATTTTGGCTGTGTAAGTTATTGTGGTATCGATCTTAAATATGTTATATTTGGAACTTCACGCTGATATGTTTGTTGAGTTGTTAGCTTGCTTTTTTACGTTTCTTACCAATAACCAATCTAACCATCAGTATTTTAAAAACTATAAAAAAAGACATATTTTTTTTTTATTAGAACTATGGACTATATATCAATCAAACTCAATCATTATCATCTAATAAAAATAGTAGGTACATTAAATGTATCAAAACCTTAATATTTCATGGTAAATATATATAACATTGAGGCCACTCATAGAGTCCCTGCCCTTTCAGTGCCACAAACAGGTACTGTACCATGTGTAATACATCATTGGGCATTCTATTACTGGGTCTACTACTAGGTTGCTCATTTTGGTCCATGCATTTATTTCCTCTATACCACATCTCCCTCGTATTTCCTCACTTCTTACTCTGTCTCTTAGAGTTTGGTTTGTTATTTTTCGTAAGACTTTCATTTCTGTTCAGCAGTCTTCATTGTTTCCGCTGTGTACGTCATTATCGGTCTTATTGTTGATTTATATATCCTGGTTTTCGTTTCCATTGTGAGGTATTTGTTTCTTCAGATTGTGTTGTTGAGACCTCCTGCTGCTCTGTTTGCCATGTTCATTTGTTTTTGTACTTCTGCTTCCACTTTTCCGTAGCTTGACAGTTTTATTCCCAAGTATTCAGTTTCCATCACTTGTTCTATTATTTTGTTAGTTACGACTAGTTTACATCGTCTCGGTTCCGCTGATATCACTATCGTTTTAGTTTTCTCTGTTGAGATCAGCATGTTGTATATGACCGCCATATCTTCGAATGCTTTAATTAATATTTGTAGTTAATTACTATTTAACTGGGAATAAGCCACAATTAAAGGTTAAAATAAGATTATTGACGTTTCAATTTCCACTTCGGAAATCGTTCTCCTAAAAAAAGAAATCGAGAACAATTTCCGCAGTGGAAATTGAAACGTCAATAAACGTATTTTAACCTTTAATTGTGGGTATTCCCAGTTAAATACTGATTAATTTAAAATGCCACAAGAAAATAGCTTTAGAATAATCTTTGTAGGTCATCTTCATTTTCGGCCGTTATTATGGCGTCGTCGGCGTAGCATATTATCCTTATTTCCTTTTCTCCCATTATATATCATCTTATTTTTTAACTTTCTTTATGATTTCATCCATTATCAGATTAAATATTAATGGGCTCAACGAATCTCCTAGTCTAATGCCAGTTTCATATTTGATAGGTTGCGATAGTTTTCCTTTACATCTTACCATAGCTATGTTATCTTTATATATATTCTCAATGGTTTTTACTAAATCCAGTGATATTCCCTTTTCACATAATAAATGTATCGTGTCCCGAATTCTCACTCTATCAAACGCTTTCTTCAAATCTATCAGACACATATATGCTAGTTTGTTGTATTCCAGCGACTTTTCTTTTATTTGTCTTATTACAAAAACTGCATCCGTGCATGATCTTCCTGCCCGAAATAGATACATATATGCTGGTTTGTTGTATTCCAGCGACTTTTCTTTTATTTGTCTTATTACAAAAACTGCATCTGTGCATGATCTTCCTGTCCGAAATCCTTGTTGTTCCTCTTGCATATTCGTTCGTTTATTTTTGTCGCTATTATTCTTGTTGTCAATTTGAGTGTTGTATTTAAAAGATTTATTGCTCGATAATTATTTGAGTTTTTCTTATCTCCTTTTTTGAAGAACATCACCATGATCACTCTCCTCCATTCATCTGGAATTCTGTTCGTGGTGATTATTTTATTAATAAGAAGTTGCAGTTGTTGTACAAGGTAATCACCTCCATATTTTAAGAGTTCATTTGATATTTGATCTTCTCCTGGTGACTTTCTGTTTTTTAATTTGTTTATTCTTTCTTTCACATCATTTTGGGAGATTTCGGTCGTTTCCTCAGTTATTATATTTGGTGTTGCTGGTAAAGATTCTTCGTTTTGTTTTTTAAACATTTCTGTCAGGAAGGCTACCCATATATCCTCTTGTATGTGTTCTATTTCAACTAGTTCTTTCATTTCGCTTCTTTGCTGTCTTATGAAGCGCCATACTTGTTTCTGTTGTCCATAGAAATCCATCTCTAGTCCTTTTGTGAATCTTTCCCAGTAATCTGTTTTTGTTTTTCTTACCAATTGATGAATTTCAGTTCTTATTCTTTTATATTCTTCATATGATTCATTCGTTTTTTCTGACTTAAGAAATAAGTCCAAAGGAATTAAATCAGAGAATCTTGCTGGCTATTCAATAAAGTTTCCTCCAATTCATTGTTCAGGAAACCGTTCATTAAGGTATCACCTAACTAATCATCTTCTGAGTACCTTATAGGATTTTTGGTTATATCTGTCAAAATGGGATTAACTGTGTCCTTTAATAGTTCTAGATATACTTCTCCGTTCAAATTTTGTTGCAAAAAGAATAGCTCAATAGTAGGCTCGCCATGAATTTCTTTCCATACGGTTAATTTCAATTGCTGCTGGGTATGTGTTTCGTGAAAAAAAAAGGAATATTCGTCCCATCCGAAAAATATATATTAAATAAAAAGTTTGGATTAATATTTATTTTCTCAGTCATAATTTCATGTAACCGTAGTCGGCTGTCTGAACCATCTTTATGTATTTCCTGTGCAAACTGTATTGTGTAGGCATGAAATTTGTAACGTTGCAGTACTCTGCAGACGGTAGTGCGCGAAAAACCAGATTTGTAATCTTTTTTGGTACTTAAAGTAAGTTCCAAATTAACATGACTTAAACTTGCTACTTCAGTCACTTTAGACCCAACACATTCTTCACCATCTCTTTTTTATCAGCTGCTGATCCCGTTTCATGAATTTTTTTAAATAGTTTTAATACGTATGAGTGATGACGTTGCTTATGTTATGATTATCATTTATGATGTTCATGAAGTGAATGAAGTTTATTCAATAATTTCAACGTTCTTCTTGCACACTTTCCATTTTCAAAAAATATAGAAATAATAATATTTAAAAATACTTATTACTGTTAAGCGCTACTAACAGCAGTTCAAATAACTAAACTTTTTGCAAATTTCATTCAATGTAGTTTTTGACGTACAGAAAACGTTTGTCATTAGAGATAGTGCAAACACTCTTGACCACGGCGCAGTAGACGAAATTTGGTTTAGTTCCCACTTCCATGCGAAACGCACTGTACTATGCAACGTGAAAGGTAGAACGTTTCAGATTGGTTAGTATAATTCCGCTTACAATAGAACCTTTCTACCTTTATATGAATTTTGACTCCGCGTTCACGCAGCTCCATGGTCAGGAGTGTATGCACTATCTCTAACAATAGCAAAACATAAATGTTAGGTTTGGTTTATAAGAGCTGTAACACTTTTAATACTTTGATACTTTTTCGCAAGAAGAGACTTGCTGTGAAAAGAAAAATCAAGGATGCCTTAATTCTCCAGCGAAAAACCTGTCCAATGTTGTGCCACCTACAGTTTATTCCCTATTAAAAATTGGAGGTTTTTAGTACTGGAACGGAGGGAAAAATGTCTCCATTAATTAACTGAATATTTTTCTAATCATAACCATATTGCTTGTAACATGTTTGAATGCATACATACCTGCTTCTATTTTGGAAATAGTAGGCAACGCCAAATACAATTAATACAACTGCTGCTAAACTAAAGGCGACGGGAACAACAATAACTGATAACTGACCCTGTTTTTTCACTAAAAGAAAAATAAAATATATTTAACCAGACTTTATAATTAGTAAAAATGAAACAGTAGAATTTATCAACTCAAACGATTCTCGAAAGCAGGTGCTAAAATCTGTATCAGAAAGCCACGAACGCAAATGTAAAGTACTGATGTATAGAAGATAGTCAATTCTCACAAGCTTTGGTAGTTTTTATTGTAATTATGTAAATTATAGGCTACCAGCTTCGAGGCTTATGATGGGGCATATATGGTAAACGTCGAAACCGGTAGCACACAATTTAATTACAAAAAAAACTACAGAAGTATGTGAGAATTGCGTATCTCCTATACATCAGAATTATGGACTCTATTTAAAAACAAACAATTAACGTACTCCGATTATTCGCAAATGTTTTTACAGTCTCGAGTCCACTTTAAATGTCATATTTCTTTATTATTTAAATTTCTGCCACAATAAATTTTTAGTTTATAAATTATTTCAAGAAATCAGCCTTCACTATTTACAACACTTGTAATGGGAAATATTAAACTCAGCTTAATTTATTTACAATACTTATTTAGTACTTTTATTATTGTACATTATAGTACAAATTGATTCATTTATTTACATTGTGAAAAATACTGTTTAATATTAATTATAACTTTAAAGTTTTATAATCACAAACAACACAAGAGTAATTTCTAGAAAATGCTGCCGGTCAACGGTGATAAATCGAAGATGAACACTCGAAATCAATTCTAAGATTGACGGATCACTACGAGCCGTCTACAACTTTCTGAAAGTCATTACAAGACCGGGTTTTTACCATAATATGCTAATTTATTTGAGGATCTTCCAAAGGGGTGTCGGAATATTTTGTTAATTCATATACCGAAAGAATTAAAGGAATTAAACAAATTTATAAAGTGATTAAGGGAAATTAGATTGGAAAAAAAATTGCAGTTCGTTTTAATTAAAATTGCAAAACAGTATTTTTTTAAGCAAATGCGGTAATGTGAACAAATGCGCAGATGTCTATGAAGGTAAGAACGTTGTACTAATTTATACATACCACTATAAATGTTGACAGTTACTGGTTGAACTATCTTATTGAGGTCGTTTTTCACGATAATTAATATAGTTGTCTTAGGAACATTGAGATATCTCATAACAGGAAATTCACAGGTTTCTAATGTGTTATAATATTTACAGGTTTCATTGCCTGTGACGTTATATTCTCCTTTTACATATTTGACACAAAAATCAAAATTTTTGGAACCATAGCATTGTACTTTTAAAGATAACATGTCTCCTGTTTGCAACCAATTATTACCGGTGACGGTTATGTTCGTCAAAGGATCTATAAAAGTAAAAAAATGTTAAATAATTATCCTAGTACCAACGTAAAGAATAATTTTAATAAAAAATACGTATGTAGTTTAAAGGTAGATATACTATAATTCCACTATTTGGAAGAGTGATTTATCGTTTAAACGCCGAATATCCTCAAATTTAAATGTACACAGCGGCCTTCGAAAACCACCCGTTTTCTCAATTGCAATTTGCGTTTTCTCATAAGAAATTACAGAATATATAAGTATGTAGTATATTTATTTGTGCTTCTCTATATAAGACTTGTAGGCGAGCAGTTTACCCCTATAAGCAGAGCATCAACCGACTTAGATTCTTTTTGCATTTCTAATGCACCAAACCATTTTTATTCGATTCTATATATTTTTTCAAGATGAAATGTATTTTTTTTTAATTTTTACAAGTGGGCCGGCAATTGTTATTAACAAATAACTTATACAAAAAAGCAATTTCACCGAATTGCTTCGGAATCGATTTTTTAGGTATCTCATCAAAATAAACACTTCTTCTCACTTGATAATTTTTCGACAAATGCTTCCTTTTCGAATTATTTGCATTTTTTTGTTGAAAAAAATGCCTTAATTAGTGTTTTTTGGGATTTTTTTTTCTAAAAAACTACTAAGTGAATTGCTATTCTACAAATAGCTTTATAATCTTTAAACCGTCGAGTACAAGTTAGAATATTTTGACAAGGATAATTTTTTTTCTATCTTGCTAAAAACGTGGACCCAAATATTTCGAATATGCTTTTCGAGCAGTCTACCGCTAAGTGTGTACAGCGGTTGCAGCGATACAGGCGTGCGTATCGCCGCAAAATCTGAGAAAACTTCCTTGGAACAGTGCAGGATGAACCGCCTGAGTATTTTCCTCTTTCCCAGGTTCAATGGACCAGCCAGTCCCTAGACTTTAAAACGTGGAAAACTATGAATAGGATAAGAATGGAGGTAGTTACCCTAAAATCAAACATGGCAAAATGAGGAAAAATAGACCAAGATGATGTGAACTGTGACTATGGAGAAACACAGAATATGGAACATCTTCTTACATGCAGAAACTGTCCTCATCGATGTACCCTTGAAGATTTGTGGCTCGCCAACAAAAATGGAACTGACGTAGCCCGATACTGGGCCGAAATTTGATGAATGACCGGACACGATAAAGTAAAGAAAGTAAAGCTACGAAGTTAACACTGACAAACACAGTGATTAAAGGTTTTTCTTTTAAAACATATTGATATGTCGGACGATTTGAAAATGTGGTTCAACTTGCCAAAGGCTGCCCAAGTCAGACTTTTACGATGGAGAAGCTCAATGGTTTGGTTATCTTTTCCTATACGAATCTCGTGACCTAGGTATTTATACGCCTTTGTCCATCTTGTTCCTACGGATATATCTACGCTGATTACAAGATTTGTTATAATCTGGGTTTAAGATATATTTATTTTCATCCCCCTTCTAGTGAGGGAAGGTAGAGCTGATTTAAAAGTTCTTTGGACTCATCTATCCTATCAGCTATTAGCACAATATCATCTGCAAACCTCAGGTGGTTAATCTTTTGTCCATTTATATTTATGCCCTTGTCGATCACACTTTATAAATAGGTGAAACAAAGATACTAAAAAAAAGTGTTTTAAATAAGAAAATGAATGATTTCAGTTATGGCTTAAATTTCGACCACAGTTAAAAAATATATACAAAAACATAACGTAATGATTCAATTAGTAATAGATAAAACTACGATTACATACCTTTAGCTTCAAATTTCTTATAAAAATATCCATAAAATGTTTTAGGATCAGTCGCCACATAAGAGCTGTTACAAACATATGGAAAGGATACATTATAAGGAACTAATGTATTATTGACGAAAATTTTAATGTTTGATTGTGGTTTTATAGTTGGATCAGTTATATGTCGTCTAACTTTTGGCTTATTTGAAGTAGTTGTTATTGCAGTTGGTTTAAGTGTAGTAGTTGTTGTCGTTGGCTTAGTGGTGGTGCTTACTGTTGTACTTGGCTTAGGTGTAGTAGTTGTAGTCGTTGTAGTTTTAGTGGTTGTAGTAGGAGGTGTTGTTGTTGTGGTTGGCAATGGAGTGAAATCAGCCATTACCAAGGCTTCGACAGTGTGATTCTGATATGGATCTGGGTAAATGTGAGCAAAGTCGAACTCATTGGTGATTCCATAGTATACGCAGTCTACAAACCAATAAGTTCTAATTGTAGGAGCTGTTTTAATAAAGTCTGCATCTGATTGCTTTAATTTTACTGTATGTATCACCTCCTTTTTAGTCGATACGAAATTATTAGGTAATGATGCATTCCCCTGCATTAAGAGGAAATCTCCATTAAGATTTTCTGAAATAAAAAATTAAAATGAAATGGTTATTAATATGACCTAATTTTAAAGAATTTTTTAAGCAGATAGAAACATATATAAAAGAAACCACATATAAAAATATCTTTATAAATAAAATAGTTTTGTCTGTACATAGTGGATGGCATTAGAACTTGTCTATTTGCCACAAAATATTTGTATTTTTTTTATTATTATTAAGGATAGGATATGATAAAAAACATGGCCATTGCTTCTAAAACAAACTTGATTAAAAGGTTGTATACTTCCTCTTGTTGTGCTAATAAAGTAGGAATGTTAGTTGGTAGACTTACAAAATTTTTCAGTTCTTGGTACAGCATATCTGTATGTACAGTATATTTTTTACACACTAAGAAAATGTGATTTATATCGGCTAAAGGTTTTTCTGGACAGTGAGGACAACACGGAGAATCTAAGATACCAATTCTAAACAAATGTGCTGGAAAGCGACCATGATTAAGTTTTAAACGTGATATAATTGATGACTTATATCTATTATAATCCCACGAATTGATGTCAGGAATGTTCGTCGGTAAAACCGGTTGAAGTTTAAATTAGAGGTTCTCTGATGTAGTTGAAAATTTACTGTACTGAGCTTCCCATCTAACCCTAACATCAGCCTTATATAAATTAATAAGATCTGATGAGTTGCACATGTTTACTTTCAATTCTGAGTCAAGTGCTTTTTTAGCTGCGAGATCAACTGCTTCATTCCCAGTTATCCCCGAATGACCTCTAACCCAGACTAATGTAACTTGTACACCATACTCCTGCAGTTTCTATGGACTATTTTTTATAGATAGAAAAATATTTTTGTTATAATGATTAAAAGGAGGGCTTTTAATGGCGTGCAAAACTGAGAAAGAGTCTGTTACAATTACCACAGATAAAGATAAATTCATCTCGCACCAATCTAAAGCTTTCCTAATAGCTATAGCTTCTGCACTAACGATCGATAAATAATGAGGGACTTGATATTGCTCAACATGGTTAATATTAGAAACTAAAAATACACAGCCTGTTTTAAATCTTTTTTTTTTATCTATCCGTATAGATGATTTTATTCTCTCCTAAATTACAGAGTATAGATTTGAAAATTAATTTTGATAGAAATATATTATCTGGATAGTTTGGAATTATAACGATTGGTTTAAATATTAAGGCTACAAAATGGATTTTGTAAATAGGATTTTTTTTTTGACTATGTATTAGTTCTTTATGTCTCTCAGTGTCAATAAAAGCATCAGCAAGCGGGAGATACGTTTTAATTCTCGAATATTTGTTTGTAAGATTCTGGACCGCTATATTTGATATTTTTTTGACCATAAATGTACTAAACATCCTATACTTTATTAGCTGTTTATTAGCTAAGTACTGTCTTCGAATGGACAAAGGCGGTTCTTGTGCTTCAGCGAGAACTGCACAATTCGGTGACGACATCATAATTCCTAGACTTATTTTAATTGCCTTATATTGAATTCTGTCTAAGATTAATAAATTTATCAAGTTATTTGATACCTGTTTGCTGATACCCATTCTACACAATTTTGTTTTTAAAATACTCAAATCAACCACATCATATGCACCTTTTAGGTCCACAAATAGGCATAACATGTATTTGTTATCAGATAAGCATATTTGTGCATCTGTAACCATGTGGGTCAACGCATCTATAGTACTACGGCCTCTCCGAAATCCATACTGTGTAGTGGATAGAAGAGAATTGCTTTCAATAAAATATCCTAGGTGAAGCTTAATCATGCGTTCAAAAGTCTTGGTCAGACAAGACATTAACGATATAGGTCGATATGATGAGGGTAATTTTGGATCTTTAGATGATTTGGTGGACCAGTTGTTTGTGACCAAATTTTTTTAAATTATTTGTTTAGCTGAAACTGGAAGATTGTGTCTTCCAGTTATATGTCCATATGTGAAACCATCCAAACCGGGAGCCGTGCTTCTGTTATGGTTTAATGACAAAATTAACTCTAAATAGGTAAAATTTTTAGATATAGTATCTAAAGTAGAATAAAAATGAAAGTTTTTTGATTGTCTGCATCGACATTAGAGACCGAAGGCGGGGCCAGTTGATTCAGAACATCGTCAATTAAACGTTCGTGCGATGGAGGTTTCTTTTGTTTATGATATTTGTTTCTTCTAGCTTTTACACAATTCCAAATGTTTGAAAGGGGTATAGATCTATTAAGTTGATTAAGAAACGTTATCCAACTATTTTTTTCTTTTAACTTGAAAATGAGTTTAGCCTTTGCTGCAATATTTTGATAATTCAGATAATTTGTAATATGTCCTTCTCTTCTGAACAATTTAAGTGCGTGGGAGCGACTTTCAGCTATATCAGAACATTCTTCGTCCCACCATTAGGGCCTTGAGACAGAAGGAATGAAAGGTTTTTAACGGGCATGGATGCAGATGCTGCTGAAAATATAACTTCAAATATTTTTTTTGTTATTCGACAGTTATCTAAATCATTTAGGGATAAATTTGTACTGATTTCATTTTCAATAAACGCTTGAAAGGATGACCAATCGGCACAACCGTCATTCCACTTGGTTACCGGATTGATTTCGAAAGATATGGGAGCAATTTGAAGCTGAATTTGAATAGGGTAGTGATCAGAAACTAAAGTGTCTTGATATACGGACCAATTTACCAAATCTGCCAAGAAAGGGGAGATAAGAGTTAAATCAACTGCAGAGTGATTACCATTGGGAGTAACTATAGTGAGCGATCCATTATTTAAAGTAATTAGTTCCAAAAAATCTAAAGCTTCTGTTAAATCCTTTCCCCCGCGGTCTTCCGGAATAGGGCCCCACCTGTAATGGTGTATATTAAAATCGCCGCAAAAAATTGTACTGTATATCAAACTGTGCCAATATATTTAACCAATCTTTTTTTGTGGCTGCTATGTCTGAAGGTTTCTATACTGAAACGAAAGAAATATTATATCTGGAATAAATACTGCACATACTTCAATGCCCCTTGAAAAAATTTGGATTATTACACTTCCTTGATAGTTAATTGTTTGTAAGATAGATATACCAACTCCGCCATATCCGTCATCAGGACATCTAATGAAATTATATCCCTTTATATTAAAATTACTATTGGAGTTAAGCCAAGTTTCGGAAAGTATGATAATATCAACATGGTTTTTATTAAGGTAATTTAAGAAATTATTTTTATTAGATGTTATTGATATACTATTCTACTACAAAATTACTCGTTTGTTTTTAATTGTTATTTGTGTGTGTAAAAATAGTTTTTCACTTGAACATGAGTCACTAATATGTTTCCATAGCATCATTTGGATCACTTGTAACCAAGGCACTTTCTACAAAGACACTGATATTATATTCCATAAAAGTATTTGGTAATAATTGAATATTTTTTTGAAATTTATTTATGATTTATTTATGAAGTAGGTAATTAACATTATAGTTTTCTTTTTATAGTCCATAAATTCTTCTCTGTAGGGGTTAGGTGTAATGGGTTTAGGTTTTTGACTAGGTTTATAAGATTTTTTTACAGGCATCGTATCTAGTGTAGGAGAGGTTGGGTGTGTTCGTTTAATTGTTTTAATAGTATTGGCTTTAGACGCTGGTTTTGGTTTTTTTTTTAAAGTAATATTAGACGATGGACTGTCGCCACAAGTATTCGGTAAAGTTGGAAAATTGTTATCGTTCTTAAAAATAAAGAATCGGTTATTCGTAGCCACCTTCGCATATGATGGATTATATATATATATATATATATATATATATATATATATATATATATATATATATATATTGTCGGCTTCTTTAAAAGAAATGTCATAACTGACATAATTTGTTTTATCCCCTTTTGCTTTGCATATACAGGACAAATACGTGAAATTGAGGGGTGGTCGTTATTATTACAATAAATACACAAATTATTTTCTTTACAATCCTCTTTTGTATGACTTATATCTGTACACTTTTGGTATCCCTGATTTTTTTATTTACATTATCTAGCTGAGTGGTCATATCTCAGACATTTGAAACACTGAGTACAACGGGTTGTATGTAAGGTTCAACATGAAAATTGCATAAATTTATTTACTAGAGTCTATAATTTTCCTTTTCATACGATTGACACTTGATACCTGTTTGTTTGATTTGATAGCCGTTAATAAATATTCTTCAGAAAAGAAAGTCTCTACCATTCTGACTAACTCCTTTTTTGTGAGTATAGAATTTAAGTATAAATGCTCTTAACTCTTTTTTTAATATAACTTCGTGGTTAACTAAGCTATTGGCTATTTCTAAGGTATTAAAAATAACCTTTACCCTATTAACTCCTACCGGTTTAATATCGATTACATCTTTTTTAAAGTTTCATCTTTAAGGAGAAAGTGCCCTATTTTAATTGGAAAAGGTCTCCCTAAATTTTTATTTTTGTGTTCAACAAATACATAAAATGGACCATTATCTCCTGGTCTATAACTGTTATTCATATCTATTTGTTGAACATACCTGTTATTATCACTATCACTTTTATTAAAAGTGTTTTTTCTGACATCACTTACACCTTAACTCTGTAAATATCCATACCAAAACAACAACTAATTATACTTATATTTTACAAGAATCAATCACCAGCTAATTTACAAAACTCGAATACGTCCATCTACCTTGACTAACGAATTCGAACTCAAATAAAATAGTTTTTAACATTGTTTTAGAAACCTTTAGAGAAAGCTCATACATGTCATTTTTAGAAGCCGCGGGCTACTGACGGAGCACTGGATCGTGCAGAGGTATATTAAAATACTGAAACGCAATTAATACTTATAATCAACGTTTTTAAAAGTTTATACAAAATTAATATAGCAGGTAAAAATAACCACTAAAATAATTGGCCAATGGAGAGAAAATTTATTTATTTAAAAAAAATATATTACCTGTTATAACAAAGTTAATCCTTGCTGAGCCAAGTTCGGGACAGTAGAACACAAATTTGCACGTTTTTACAACAACTTGAGCGGTATAAATTCCAGCTGGATAGACGCCTGCAGTGTATGTAACAGTCCAGGTATCTGTAGAATTGGTAACTTCTTCAATCTGTAAAAATAATGACATGATTAGTGTATTAAAGTGTATTAAAACATTTCAATTATACTATATAGATATCCAGCGGCGGCCGGCCAGGTGAAGTAGGTGAAGGTGAGGTTCACCAAAAAAATATATTTAAAATGAGACAAATAAATAAAAAATAAAAGCAATATTATTATATCTAAATTCTAAAACCAATTATTTATTTTCTTTTAAGTAATCTAAAAATTAAAAAAGACAACTAGCTTTATTAGCGGTAGGTACTTGACGGTCAAGTCCTGACCTGTCTCACTTGCCGTGTATGATACAGGAATAGGTGAATATCATTTTTGAAAGGCGAAATCCATCTGCATAAGCGTTCACGGTTGCCATGGCAACGTGACGTCAGCCTGTCGTTAGTGATAGCTGAGAAAACTGGCGAGTACAGATCCATTTAAAAAAAATTATCCGTCTTCACCCACTAGTTGGATATGTATGTGGTATTCTACCTATTTTTCGGAAATTTCTCTCGGGAACAATATTTCGAAATTTAGTCTATTATATAGATATTTTTTATATAGTACAGTGCATAGTATAGTCAGAGAACTACGGTATAGTATTTATTAGTTTAGTTTAGTCACAGTATTAAGTTTATTTGTTTAGTGAACTTTATTAATACATTTCTTTGTGGTTTGTTTCGGATTTCGGATATAAAGTGTTCTCGTGGATTTCGTTTGGACAAAAATAATTTTAGACAGACATGAATCCAATTAATGACTTGGTGTGTAATATATTACAGACTCCGTATAGGCATTGGAAAAATGAAGATAAAAGGGATGTTCTTTTACATGGTCGACCAACCAGTATTTTAAACATATTACTAAAAAAGTTACAAAAACAGGCAAGTCATATAACATTAATTTAAGTCTTCTTGGTTCACAGAATTAAATTGGTTGTGTAGTAGCACAGCGTTAGAAAAATTGTATTGTTGGCCATGTCTCCTCAGCAAACAAGAGTTGTCTTTTAGGGGACATGATGAGAAAAGTGACAGAGGTAATTTTAAGGAGTTATTAAATCTGTTAATTGTTCAAAGCCCTTTCGAAACTAAAAATCATTACGAAAAAATCAAAAATGTTTGTAGTGGAGAACCAAAAACAATTCAAAATCAATTAAATGAGTGTATTTTTGGTTACATAAATGATAATATTATAACTGAAATTAAAACAGTCCATTTTTTCCCTCCAAATTGATGACACTACTGACATAACGCAGATGTCGCAGTCTTCAATAATATTAAGATGCGTAAAGTCTCAAGGATTATTAATTGAAAGGTTTATGGGATTTTACAATGTAAGTGCCGGTAGAACAGCTGAGCAATTATTACACTATGGCTGCGACAGTTTTAGAACCTTTGGAATACCGACATAAGCTTGTAGGACAGTGTTATGATGGAGCCAGTGTAATGTCAGGACACTTAAATGGACTTCAACAAAAAAGTAAATCACATGCCCCACAAGCAATTTTTGTGCATTGTCTAGCCCATCGACTTAATCTTCTTTTGCAACAGAGCTTTAATCAAATATCAAAATGTCGAATTTTTTTGCAACTATTACCGGAATCCCTTCGTTTTTTCATAGTTCAGCAAAACGATCGTACGCTCTTGCATCTACATCGACTAGACGTATGCCAACAATTACAGAGGCAAGATGGTCGTCTAATTCAAAATTAATCAGTGTAATTACTGAAGACTGGGAAAATTAAAAGAGGTTTTTGATAATAAATGAATTCTGAAGAGTCAGACCACAAATCAGTTCAGCTGGCTAAAGGGTTTTTACGAGATTTAAATGATTTTGAGTTCACATTTTGAGCAACAGTTTTTAGCGACATTTTTCATCCTATATATAGGTGTTACCGGGGAAATGAAATACTCGGGGCAGACCAAAACCAATAAACACTGCAGCGTCTGATCCAGAGTGATCGGCTGCAATCAGCCTCTGACCCTCAATGAAATGTCAAGGTTCAGAACTAAAATACCCCATGCAAGCAGAACGAATCGTATCTAGTATAAGTGCCCTAAAAACTGTGTTTAAGTTATTAGGGCCCTTTTATACATTCTTTTTAACGATTTTTAATGAGATTTGGGCGCGACAAAAATTCCTTTTGGCTCCAGCAAGGTTTCCTCATCTTCACTAGTTTTTTAGGCCACGAGCCGCCGCTGGACAATTTAAAGCCCACCCTTGAAAATCCTAACGGTGAATTTCAATGGGCTATCTCTATTTCAAAAATTTCTTTCTGCACGAAAACAAAATATGTTCATGAAGAAATATTCTAAGCGTCGTTCTGATATCTCCCTCAAGTCCAGGTCAAAAATGCGTTCATGTTTTACTCAAGCCGATTATACAGCCGGGATACCTCAGGCTTGTGACTATGACAGTGACAGGTTTGGAGCTACACAATAAAACCATAAACTTGAGTGGTCTTCTCTTTAGTGGTGTTAGGGGTAATTAGAATAACAGACCAGAGTAATATTATCTATTAATAAATTTAAAATGTAACAAAGGTACATACTAGTATCAAATCCTCCTGTAAATAATTAAATATCGAAGACAGACACAACATAGAGCAAGATATTTTAAGGTCACGGTATTGCTGAACTCCTTTGTTTATAATGTCTTATATTTTTCTTCTACTGAAAAATATAAGACATTATACACAAAGGAAACATGTTTACCGAAAATTGAAAATTAGAAAAAAAGATTATAATTTTGGTATGGACACATACCGCAAACTAACAGTATTCTCTATTCGATATAAATAACTGTCCTTGCACTTGATAGGATACAGTTCTTTTTAAATGGAATTGACCGTTCATTAGTTGGAAAAATTTATTTTTTTTTTAGTTCAATAGCTTCTTTGGGCGTAATTTCTCTTGCTTTATATGGACATTGAATTTCGACCATGCCTGAGTCACCTATAAACCATCAGGACTAGCTGCAAGAAAGTGATATTCAACATGTATGAAAAGTCCTGATAGTTCAATATTAATATTTAGTATTGTTTTAATCTAACATTTTTTTTGCTTTGGGTTCGTTCGCAATTCCATATTATGTAAATCTATTCCCAGAAAACATTGGATTCAAGTTTGTTAAAGTAAATTTTTACATTGTCCTACAGTTGACAATAAATACATTATAATTGTTGGTGGTCAATTCACCTATATTAAATTATAACAAAGAATATCAAATAAGCTTATAATTATTACTGATAACATTTTATTAAGTAACTCATTGCTTATTTGGAAAGTTTGGATCCTAATTGCAGTTTTTTGTTGTTCTTAGCGACTGATTTCCAAGCTGAAATTAATGTCATTTTAATGTGTTTACACTCTCATTAAAATTTAGTATAAATTCTAAACTTGAAATTAATTTTAGTTAGCTCATTTTTTAGTTAGTTCATTTGATTCGTTGAAGTTCATATCGACCATAATTATTATTGTGGTTTTTTGTGTTATACCGATTGAATTTATTAATGGAGAACAGAGAACATCCCCAGGAGAAGGCATTGTCATTAGGGGAGACACAAATATTAGTCTACATGGTGAATTATCGTGTAAATCAAGGATATGATTCACTTTCAAAAGTAATACAAACAGTGGCAGTAGAAACCGGCTTTTCCGAAAAAACAATTTACTCTGTAAGAAAAAAAATTCCTCGGAACTTGGATTACAACCAGCAAAGAGACGATCTAAAAACAAGCTAACTTCATTATTACCTGATAAAACTTACGATGAAGGAACAAAGATATAACCTCGGAAAGCTTTTTTGGATGGTGCCAGAAAGGTCACCACTGGTTGGTGGAGAGCGAGTCGTTGGTTCGAAACTAGCTTTTCGAACCGGGAATGGGTCCAACGGACGAAATAAATGAAGATAGAACAGGATACGATATGTCAGAAAAGATACAGAAATAAACAGAAAGATAGATAGGTAAAATTGCCAAAGATACGATACGATAGAAAAAGGGCGCCACTTAACTTTTTGGGGTTTAAGGAGAAAATTAAGAAACTTTAGAAACGAAAAGAGATAAGGAAAGATATTTAGATTTTCAGACCAAATCCAAGAAAAGATATCAACAGTTAATTATTAAAAAAATTTAGTCAACACACTACCTACACAAATAATAAATATATTAGGTGGAATCCGTCCACCCACTTACCTACGAAACTTAATCAACCTGATTCTTCTTCAGGTCTAAGGTATAATAATAATATAATATTTTAAGCAAATATTCAGAGGTATTTTTATATCAGGAAACTTATTAGGAGTCGAGGAATAAAATTCATTGATAAAACAAAACAATATATTGAACAACACGATTAAATTTGGATAATCTGATGATTTTAAATCGGAATGTAACCACAAGTAATATAAAATGCACTATCAATTATTAAATGGTGGTATACATATAAAAATAAACAGTATTAGGAATAAGAAATAAATTTACACATACAATAAAATAAAATCATGCACAGTTTCAAGTTATCAGCGAAGAGAACCTGATAGTGATTAAAAATATTCAACTAAACCTGATTAAACAAATCTCTCTTTGCTGTTTATGGGCGTATCTCGGGATAACAGGTATAGTATGTTAAAAAAATGAATAGCAAATAAAACAAAGTTAATTAAAGTTAAATTCTAAAGAATACAAAAAGGTTACAAGAATTCCGTATTATAAAAATTAAACCAACCCGCACTTGGTTTTAAATAAATTATCTGTCCCGCACTGGTGTTTAATGATTAACTGTTCTTACTAAGCATTAAATGTTCGTAGTTATTATTTATTAGAAGTTCTTACTAGCTGATTTAAAGTTCGTATGAAAATATTAACTGTTCTTTTAATTGGATACTAGCCAGTAGTTAACCTTAACTACAGGTGATGACATGGTTGAACGCAGGTTCGCCCAGATAATTGGGTAATATGATGGCATACCATATTATTCGCCCAGATAATTGAAGGTAACATGATTACGATAACTTACAGTAAATCTTGATGACTACTGCACCTCACTGATTCTACATACTATACTTGTATTAAGCACTGAAGTTAATTAAAATTAAAGGTACTTTATAACGATATTTAATCTAACTGGTAACCTTTATGGTATTAGATTAAGAAACTCAAATATTTAAGTGTATACACACTTGCAGAAAAAAATTCACAGAGACAGTAAGATAACAAAGAGACGGTAAGATTGTAGCGTAGATGCTTAATAAACATTTAGCACACAAATTAAATTCAAGGCCAGAATCGCTCAATGTCGGAGAGAAATTGCGGGGTACGGTCAAATGTATAGAAACTACGTAGTATCTCAAAAATCCAAACACAATTAGATAATCTGAAATTATAACTTATTATTGTCAGTTAACTTCGAGCCAAATAAACATAATCAATGATCTTTATCCTCGCCGGTAAAGGTCTAAAAATAATTATTTATCTGAAAATATAGACAAAAAAGGCCTTTTTTCTTTGGCTTACCTCTATATAGAGACCCACTTCACAAAACACATCCTAACAGTTGCATGTTCTTAAGAGAAAAGAGATAGACGCTATAACTTACCGGTTTGAATTGGGGCGTGATTGACAAGTTAATAATCGATCTCATCTACCGGATATGTTTAGAATTACAGTAGAAACCTTGGGTCGACTACAAGTACCCGGCAGATAGATGGGGTTAGCAGTTTTATTTAAAAAAATAATCGAATTTATAATGAATTTCCTAAGACTTTTGAAGCGGTTACAAGATGAGCAAGCTCCTTTACGCAAAGACTACCCTGCCAGAAGTGATGTTCTCTCTCAAAATTTACCAAGCTTCCCAAAAATAAGGTGGGATATCCCCCCTTAAAATTGATAGGCCAGGCTGTATCCATTTCTTGGAAGACAAAAAGGTTCTAACGCATATCGAAAATAACGGGACCCTTCTATTTACGACGTGAGAAAAGATAAATCCTTTTGGATTAGGTTCTTACAGAAAAATACAATAAAATACTTTTTACGGCTTGTTTGTACCAAATTTATCAAAAAAAAACCGGCCTGACACCAGAAAGGATTACCCAAAGGATTAACCAAGTAGATTCTTCCGTAATCTGAGCAGTCGGTATGTTCTAATAAAATTTAACAAGCTATTTGCGAATACGACCATGGGCGTATCAGCAACAGGGATAAAGGGATTAAACTTTATTTAAAATTTTGATTATAAAAAAAATGTTGCAAAGAGTAGCATTTGTCGAATAGTGCATGATTTTGTATTAGCAGTTCGATTAGCAGTAGTAAATAAAGACGAACATCTACCTAATTTTTCTAGAACAACACTACATAGACTAATTAGGGACATGGGATTTGTGTATACAAAACGGGACAGGAAGTCAATGTTGATAAAAAAACCCGAAATTATTTCTTGGCGCCATCGATATTTGCGAGAAATTCGTACATTTCGGAAGCAAAACTACAACATTGTACCTATATTTGGACGAATCATGGATAAATATTGTCAATTGTAAAATACAGTATCAATTATGAATGGAAGAATACTTCCGTATCGTCACATAGGAATGCATATGTTTATGGACTCACTACAGGCTTGAAACCGCCTACTGCACGTGGACCTCGCTTCGTTTTACTGCATGCAGGAAGTAAACATAGTTTTATTAATGAAACCGAACTAACTTTTAAGGCAAAGAAAAATACAGCAGAATGAAATGTATGAAATGGATGGACCCCTTTTCGAAAATTGGTTTAAAACTAAACTTCTTCCAAATATTCCCGAAAAAACTGTAATAGTAATGGACAATGCGTCGTATCACTCTAGGAAGTTAGAAATAATTCCGAACAATTCTGACAATAAGGAAGAAATAAATAAATGATTGCGTTCAAAGGATATTTATTTCGAAGAAGATTACCTAAAATCCGAACTGTTGGACGTTGTAGCTCATTTTAAATCGCAGTATGATGAGCGTATCGTAGATGAAATTACAAAAAAGTAAGAATTTTAAGTTGCTAAGATTACCTGCATATCACTGTGAACTAAATCCGATAGAGCTGGTATGGAGTGAAATAAAAAGATTCGTGGCAAGACAACACAAACTTTAAGAAGGAACAAGTAGAAAATCTAATACATGAAGCGTACTCTCAAGTTACTCCACAAAAATGGAATAATTACGTGCAACACGTAAGTAATTAGCATAGAAAAACAGATGTGGAATATCGATAATTTACTGGACAATATCGACCCAGTTATAATAAACCTTAATGACGACAGTATCAGTGAAAGTGAGGAAGACGTGAGTATAGAAGAAATGTAAAATACATTATTATAGAAATTTTTTATACAAAATTATTTTTATTTTATTCACATAAATACATTCAGGTATTTTTCGAAAAAAAAATGTTTTACAACCTCTGACAGCCACAAAATAACAATAATATTAATTCCTAAATTATTTACAGTTGTTATCTTATAGAAAAAAGAATATTTGCTTCAAACCTGTTTCTGATAAAATTTATCATCACTGTTGGACATGAGAACCTGTACTGCAAAGTTAAGGTCGAACAGATTCAGTGGCGGCTTTTGGGGTAGGCGGGATAGGCCGGGCCTACCCAATAATTTTAAGAGCTTTAAAATTGAAAAACATATATTCAAAAATTATGTTAATGCATGTAAATAACTTTTAAATGTACTAAATCACTCAATACATTAACGTCCGTTAAAACAACTATGTTATTATATTACCACAGAAAGCATCGAATCGCATTTAGGCATTTTAAATATCATTAATAGGCCCGATCGGAACTGGCCGACCCAACTCATGTAAGATCCCCGTACAAAAAGCGTTTGAAGTTATGCAGCTTGCCGGAAAACGATATTTATTGTCGTCTTTATGATTGCTGTTTAGGCATCAGACAATGGGGCCTACGCCGACCATCGTTGTCACTTGTAACGTAATTATCGAATTGTAATATAAATTTTCTTTTAAATTATGATACAAAATATGTAACATAATCTATAATTGTAACAAATTTTTAAACAAACAACACATATGTGTTGTATAAGAATGCCTTAAATAACTCCACATTTTTTGCATGCATTCTTGATGAAACAAACGATATTACTGAAAGGGCACAATATTCAATAGTATGCAGATTAGTGGATACAAAAACATTGTTCAAGAATATTTCTTAGGTTTTTTTGATTTAGGGGAAGACTGAACTGCTCCAGCGTTACGTGACTTACTGTTTAGTGTAATTTGTAAATTTGACTGTAAAGCTAAATTAATTTCTCAAACCTACGATGGAGCTAGTGTTATGTCGGGACAACTTAATGGACTTCAAAAATTAGTGAGAGATTCTGCATCATTAGCAATATTTACCCATTGTTTCGCTCACCGCTTCAACCTAGTTTTACAGCAAAGTTGCTCCAACATTACAACAGTCAAAATATTATTCTCAACGCTTCAAGGTATTCCAGCTTAGTTTCACCAATCGTCCAAACGGTCCTATTTTTTTAATAAAATACTTGGAAAACGAACTACCACAAATAGTGAAGTAAGATGGAATTCAAATCCAAAAGTAGTATGTGCTGTGTCACAAGACAGAAAAAAAATTGTTAAAAGTCTTTCAGGACATAATGAATTGTCCAGAATCAAATGCAAAATCAATTAGGCAGGCATATGGTTTTAAACGTAAGTTGGAGGATTTGGAATTTGTATTTTTATTAAATGTTTTTAGTGATATATTTCAACAAACTGAGCTTCTTCTTCAAACATCTTGCAGAAGAAAAATAATGATGTTCAAGTGTGTGCCAATTCAGTGTCCAGAAGTGTTGCAATGTTAAAGAGCTGGAGAAATGACCTTACATTTTCTAACCATTTCAATATTACTGTTAGCGAAACCAATTCTAAACCCATCTTAAGTCGTAGTGAACTTGATATTTTACCTGGTAGTTCATCTAATAACGGAGATCAAAGTTTTTTGGAGAAAGCTAAAACTAAATTTAGAAGGATCTTTTTTGAGATTTTGGACATTATTATCACTCAATTAAAGCAACGTTTCTCGGATTACAAAAAGTTTCAATAACTGTAATTGGGCGATAATAAAAGATTCACAGAATATGGCGCTAAATTTACGATGTAATTTGCTGGCTTGGCCTACCCAAAATTTTACCACACCAGCCGCCACTGAACAGATTATAGGTTAGGTGTGGAGTTTTATAAAATACAAAAATTAATTAGGACATAAAAATCAATTTCAATCTATTTTGTGTAAAGTAAAACAAAAATATGTACTAGTACTAACCTCTCTACTGTGCTGTGGTATTCCATTATCAAGCCATTCAAATTTTAAGTTGTCTTGTACAGGCTGGCCATCAGAAGATATAACTGCTGTAAAATGTATAGTGCCACCTTTTATAATTGGACCATCCTGTGTCAGCTCAATGTCATAATTCCTTCCTGAAAGATTTGTAGATATAGATATATCTTTCTTTTTCATATTGCATTCTAATATACAAACAAAGGTCTAACTTAAATATTTTTTTTACTAATAAACCAAAGAAAATCAATCAATAACAAATTGAAATCAATAAAATGTTTAACAACAAAAAAAGTCAATAAAAATAATAAAAATAAATAAAAATATTGTGCACATTCTCTGCCAATTCAAATATTACTTTATATTTTTAAGGAAAACCTTTAATTTATCTTGAAAACTTTTAACTGTCCTACAGTCTTTTAATTCATTTGTTTATTATTAAATAACAGTTAATTGTACATCTTGTAAGCAAAAAGTAAAGTAACCGAGTGATGAAAACCTTGGGATTGGTTTTTCTTTATGATAACGTCGAGAAACGGTAGGGATGAATCAGTTCCATCTCCATAGTGAACTAGATACTACGATGTATACCATTCAGATGGGTTTGAAAAGACAGCAAAGCATCCCTGCCGTGGGACCAAATGACGAATGTATAAAATGTTTAATTCTGTCAGTGTACAGTGTACAGTGCTTTTAATGGGCAGGAACCAGGAGGTAAGCATTAATAATAAGAAACGTTCATTCGTAACGATAAAAACGGTTCTTAATGTATTTAAATGATCGCGTCACCATTGAAACTAAATTTTGACATTTGAGATTTAGCAAAAAATGATACCTTATCTTGTTTACAAGCAACAGATTTTTTATATTTTTTATTGCATTTACGATAAGTTTCACGTTTATTCTGATTTCTAATCAATTCAGATCACTGTTCATTAGTGTTTTCAAATCGTGTTAGTATGACTTCGAAAATAATGCAAAAGTTGTAGCATTACATGAGAATTGTCGCAGTATGCATTATATTGCAAATCATTTGAATATTGCCAAAAGTACCTTCCATAATGCTCTTACGAAGTATTGTCAGATTACACTAGAAGACCAAGATCAGGCAGAAAAAAATGCCGAGATCACCGTGAAGCTCGAGGAACTCATTTCTGTTCGAACTCTAAGAAGAGACCTGCATGAAAGTGGTTTACGGTCTCAGAAGCCATGGCCTCATAAGCATGCCCTAAATTAACAGGAACTCATCGAGCAAACAGGATGAGATTTACGAATGATCACAGAGACTAGACTGTTCAGCAATGGAGAGTTGTAATGTTTTCTGACGAGCACTGTTTTTGCTTACGATCTCCAAACGGACGCGAACGTGTATGCAGGAGACCCAAAGACGATTCACACCTTGCTGTATTGCCCGCCGTTTGGTGGCGGAGGTGTTATGGTATGGGCAAATATTTCTTTCAACGGATGCACCGAATTAATTTTTGTTAATCAATCAATCAATGAATCAGGGGATAAGTTTAGCAGGTGAACAACAGGGTTTTCGTAGTGGAAGATCGTGTACAGATGCAATATTCATTATAAAGAAAATTACTGAGAAATCACTAGAGTATAATAAACCAGCATTTCTGTGTCTGATTTAAAGAAAGTATTTGACAGAGTAAGACTCAAAGATATAATCCATCTTCTGTATAATTGAGAAGTTCCCCCTAAATATTATAAAAAGTGTCAAAAACATGTACCAAAACAACAAAGTGGAAGTCAGAATAGATGGTCAACTTACAGAACCTATAGACATAGGCAGCGGAGTAAGACAGGGAAATTCATTGAGCCCTATGCTCTTCAATTTAATCATGGATGAAATCAAAACTGTTAACAAAGCAAGATACAGAATGGGAAACAAAGAAATAATAATAATAAAAAATACTCTGTGACGCATACGACGCAATATGATAGCCCAAGATGAAGATAGTCTGCAAAGAGTGGTCCACAGATTTAACATAAGAGCAAAAGAATTTAATACGACAATTTCATCTCAGAAAACTAAAACAAAAGTAATCAGCAAAGAACCAACCAGAGGTTAAATAGAAATTGATGACATGAGTATTGAATAAATTATGGAAATATAATACTTTTTAATTACACTGTTCAGCTATGAAGACCAGGATAAAGAAGTGAGAGATCAAGTACAAAAAGCAAATAGACTGGCAGGATGCCTTAATAACACTATATGGCAAGACAGACACATTAACACTGAGATGAAGTCAAGAATTTATAAAGCCAGTGTAGAACACAGAGACCCGATACAGCCACAACACAAACGCTACGTGGAAACGACAGAGACGAGAGTACTGAGAACAATTACAAGAAATACGCTGGGATAACGAAAGAGAAATTAGATTAGAAGAAGATTAAAGACATTAGAAGAAAATGTAACGTACAGTGTATAAATGAATGGATACTAAATAGAAAAAAATAATGGAATAACAACATAAGCAGAATGGGGGAGACCCGTGTCGTCAAAGTAGCAAGATATAAGTCACCAATCGTCAAAAGTATCGGACGACCGCGGAAAAGATGGAGTGACAACCTTGCATAGAGGTATTAAACCGCCAATGAACAAGCAGAATTACTTATAAAGAGGAAGAAGAAGGGGAAGAATCAATCAATGTCCTTTAAGTACCTTTAGTTGGGGATAATTTCTTATTTAGGCAGAATAATGCGCGTCCACATACTGCGCAAATCATCATGGACTACCTAAATATTGTCGTTTTGGAAATCCTGTTTTGGATTGGTTACCTTATAGTAATGACATGAATCCATTACAACAAAATGGGACATTTTAGGTAAAAAGATTTAAAAGAGACAACCATTGCCAGAAATGATTCAAGAGCTGAAAACACCGTTGAATGAAGAATGGGAACATATAGAGGAAAGGAAGGTATTAGGAGAAGAGCGACACCTGGTGTCGTAAATCAGCAAAATTTACTGCGCTTTCATGTTAGATGGAGGTTACCGGATAACTGTCAAGGACGTAGCCCCAAAAAAGAATAAGAAGAAAAAGTAAGATTGAGGTCATGTCGGTATGTTAGTAAAAGGTAAACGTTGTATGTAGTGTAAATACAAATAAATATATTATTAAATTACAGCATTACTGTTAATAAGGATGCAATAATAAAAACTTATACCTTTTCAACCAAGCACTGAGTCAAAGGGAAAAGCTTTAGTAGTGGTAGTAGTAGTAATTTTTTGTTGTATTTTTACAATTTATAACACAGCATTTACTAAATTCCATTTTCTTCAGTGACAGAAGAAGTAAATAAACAAACGAATATGAAATGTGACAATTTGACAATATGAATTTATGAAATCTATGAAATGTGCAGTAAAAAATGCAAGATTTCTCCGCTACTCGCGCACGATCGTTTCTCGTATCACATCCAAGTACTTGCACGTCGCCATATAACCCGGAGAAATATAATGAATAAAAGTAAAGTTAAAACACGAGTTTTTTAGCACAATGGCAAAACTAAACAACAATTAATAATTGTATAAATCGTAATGTACGCTAATTTAAAACCAAGGTAATTTGTTTAAAAGCTAAATGGATTGGAACGAAAAGAAATTTTTCTGTTACAGAAATAAGTCTACAGTGTAGACATAGTAATCATCTATTTCTGGATGTGTATTTTTTCTATATAAACCTACCCTGTCCATTTGTATCAAGGGTTTCAGAGAAACTTTGTTTTATTTTTTCAGATATGTATGTCAAAATAGAAGGAAGGTGAGAGAAGGAACCAAAAGCTTTAGAGTCAGGTAGCAGCCTTAAATACTCTTGGTCGTAAGCCAGTTTTCACTAAAGAAGTAGAGGATGAGTTGCAAACAGATTTACTTGAGATGGAGGCCATGTTTTATGGGCTCACAAAAAGGGATGTTTGCAGTCTTGCCTGTCAACTGGCGGTTCGCAATGACATGCCCCACCTATTTAAAGATGCATCTTCTGGTTTTACACTTTTATGAAAAGTAACCCGAATCTTTCAGTCCTTTAACCCCTGGGTAAATTTTTTCCCAGAGCTAGGGGAGTTTGTAGAGGAATTTTTTTACCTAGTCGATATCATTTTTCAAAAACACAACTATTCTCCCAACAGGATATACATATAATGTTGACGAAACAGGTTTACCCATTGTTTCAACTAAAGTTCCTCATGTAATAGGCCTAAAAGGAAAGAGACAAATTGGGTTGCTTACTTCGGCTGAAAGGGATTCTCTCGTTTCGATTATTCCCGGTATGAGTGCAGGAGTTAACTCTGTTCTTCCTCTTGTGAAATCTAGGAAAAACATGAATGAACTTCTTAGAGGTGATCATCCAGGGACCATCACATCATCCCAACTGCCTGATTGGATACAGACAAATATTTTTAATAAATGGTTTAAACATTTTATTACTGTAACAAAACCATCGCCTGTTCTGCTTCTCCTTGACGGGCACATAAACCAGAAGTGGAGCACTGATGTATTTAATTCAGCAAGCGAAAATCATGTTATAATTTCATGTCTACCCCCACATAGTTCGCATTAAATCCAACTATTAAACAAAACCTTTATGGATCCGCTAAAGTCTCACTATAGTGAAGAAGTGAGACCTTTTTTGAGACATAGCTTAAGGTCTTTCAGTGTTTTTGATATAATGGAATTGTTTGTCAAGGCCTATATTAAAGTACAATGTGGGGACAGCAGTAAACAACTTTAAAGTGACTGATACTTACCCTGTTAATTGAAACAATGAAGATTTCATTGCTTCTACACTCACTGTTCTCAGACCTGAAACTATGTCAAGTCAAAACTTTTTGACCTACCGAAAGAAATATCACCACCAGCTCCAAAAAAGCAGAAGTCAAATAGAAGCAGGAAAGCTGGATCTTCTTCTATAATAACCTACTCTCCATATAAAAAGAATCTAGTGGATGAACTGAATGAAAAGACCAGAAAAAATAACCAGGAGCTTCAAAACAACAAAATAGGGTAAAAATTCAAAGACTGCCTTCTAGACCTAAACCTACTAGAGATGATTCCAGTGTAAGTAATGATGGATCATTTCACTCTAATATCTCTATATCATCTGTCATGGAATTCATGCTATCAGCTAATAAACCAGAAAACAAATACTCCAAATGTATCTTCTGTAATTGAAAATTCTCCAAAGATGAACGAGGAGATATTTGGATTCAATGTTTAAGCTGTTTTTTGGTCCCACCTTGACTGTGCTGGGGCAGAGAACAAAGATTATGTGTGTGGTTATTAAACAAAACCTTTATGGATCCGCTAAAGTCTCACTATAGTGAAGAAGTGAGACCTTTTTTGAGACATAGCTTAAGGTCTTTCAGTGTTTTTGACATAATGGAATTGTTTGTCAAGGCCTATATTAAAGTACAATGTGGGGACAGCAGTAAACAACTTTAAAGTGACTGATACTTACCCTGTTAATTGAAACAATGAAGATTTCATTGCTTCTACACTCACTGTTCCCAGACCTGAAACTATGTCAAGTCAAAACTTTTTGACCTACCGAAAGAATTATCACCACCAGCTCCAAAAAAGCAGAAGTCAAATAGAAGCAGGAAAGCTGGATCTTCTTCTATAATAACCTACTCTTCATATAAAAAGAATCTAGTGGATGAACTGAATGAAAAGACCAGAAAAAAATAACCAGGAGCTTCAAAACAACAAAATAGGGTAAAAATTCAAAGACTGCCTTCTAGACTTAAACCTACTAGAGATGATTCCAGTGTAAGTAATGATGGATCATTTCACTCTAATATCTCTATATCATCTGTGATGGAATTCATGCTATCAGCTAATAAACCAGAAAACAAATACTCCAAATATATCTTCTGTAATTGAAAATTCTCCAAAGATGAACGAGGAGATATTTGGATTCAATGTTTAAGCTGTTTTTTGGTCCCACCTTGACTGTGCTGGGGTAGAGAACAAAGATTATGTGAGTGAATTTTGTAAATAGAGTAGAAGTAGTAATGACTAGCATATAATCTTAAAAATATTGTTTTATGAACTCTAATTTTTTTTTAACGATTCTAACATGTATTCCATATTACTCCACTATTTCATATTAACCTTCATTGTTAACTTTTTTTGTAATAAATATTTTTATAAAAACAAAATAATTATTTTATTTCTTTCAAGTGATAGTTCATTGCAATTAGTTGTATTTTGGAGTCATGATGATTTTGGGAATTTTTATTAAAAAAATAGTAGGTTATTTTTAGAAATGTAAATGGTATTCCATAATATCCTCCTCTCCTCTACCTCACAAACAGATTCAGCAACTTATTGCAAGTAAGTATGCCTAAGCATATTGAAAATGAAATCCTCCTCAGATGTAGGGGAGGCAATATCCAATACCAAACCTAAAGAAGAGCCAACTGTGGGCAATTAAAATTTTAATTTTTTTTTGTTTTGTTTGTTTTGTTTGTGTCTAGATAAAGTTAGTTTATTATTACTTCCTTTGACCGAGAAGATTTGATTTCATATTTAGAGTTTCTTACCGAGTCACTCTAGCGAGTCCTGAAAGGATGAGATACTTATAAGCGAATTTATTGTAGAATCAGTATATGTATTTTGATTATTAGAACCCAGTTAATGAAAGGTTCTTACTTAGATGAATCAATATGATGTGGAATACATATTTAGATTCCCCATGTCAGTCATTCATCATTCTGTTTGCTTTGTAAATTGTATAAGTCACAATTAGTGGCAGATTATTCAAATTCAAAATTATCTTTTTAGTGTAAGGCTTCAGACTTATCTAGAAGAAAATGTAGAGAAATGCAAACTTTATTACTTCACATCAAACATTCCCAGTGACTTAAAGCATCAATTGCAGTTTCGAATTCTATAGTTTTTATAAAGTAAAAATACACATTGATAACAATCAGGTGTTGGAAGCAAGTATAGTTGGAAAATGTGGCAGGAAAATGTTAACTATAACTCACACAATTATTTTTTTAAGATTGTAGTTGATGCATAGTAATTATTTTAATATTTTAATATTTTATAGGTATGCTTCTTCAATAAATCAACTTTCCAGATGTTGGTAGACAAAAATAGATTTATCCTGGGACACCCAGGGGAGCAGTTTAGATACTAATCTATAAGAGACCATAAAATATCAAAAATAAAGATTTTAAACTGCATATGAATAATTTTTGGTTTTAGGTTTCATTTAATATTGACTATGACCATGTGTGCTTGGTTGTATAGTAATTTCCAGTCACTTCCATGAGTCAAAATTGAACCAATATAACAAAATAATGATAACTAGATAATGATACTAGGGACTTGGGACTAGAATCAGTGAAATGAATATACTTTACTAGAGTGAACAGGTTTTGCGGTAGAAAACCAATTGGGAACGTTCATAACTTGAACTCAAGAAAAGAGTGATATGAATCATAATCACTAAACAACTTGGGTGAAACCCAAAATGTGGTAAATTAAAGCTTATGTAAGTTGCTTGTAAATACATACAAAAGCAGAATGTGACATATAATAGGGTTTCCAAACAGAAAGGTTTAAAAAACTTAAACATAGTAGCAGTCTAAGCATGGTAGTACAAAGATGAGAATGGTATCAAATGATATTCTTCTCTTATATCTTATGAGATTACTGTGTTGTCAAATATCTATGTCATATTTTGTAAATATTTTTTTATAGAGTACCGGAATCTTACCTGAGACCTGTAAGATAATATTCAGTATTACGACTATCACAGTTTTTCTGATCATATTACAAATATCTAAATAATTCACAATAACAGGTAAATACTTTTTGTTTTTATTATCATTAGAATGTCACTGTCATCTGTCATATAAGCTCTTTTTGTTGACAAGGACAAGATGACTTAATCTTCTTCGTTCTTCTGTTTTTTTAGGACATGGTAAGCATGGTTTGGTATAATATTTTAAAACTTAGTTGTTATTCTGCATCATTCTACGATTTTTGATTACTGTATGAGTACGTTACATTCATTAATTGTTGAGAATATTTAAAAATATATACAATATTGATATGTGAGTAAGTTATAATTTCACATTTTTGTTCATAATTATTGTGTTTTCCTGGTTTTCCCAACTGCTTAGTAACTTTTATTTTATAATGTTTGGCAGCCGTGTGTTACTAATTTTGAATCTTCGAATTAGACAAGGAAAAAAATATATTTGAATACAAAATACAAATACAAACCGAAATTTTTGAAAATCATAAACATAATATAATTTATAATCATGTCGGATACGGCTATAAGTGTAGATTCATCAGAAGAGCCTTACCTTATTAGGAATATGAAAGGACACAAAAAAGCTGTAACAGATATCTCTTTTAATCCCTTAACAACTCAATTTGCCAGTGGCAGTGAAGATCATTCGTTAATGATATGGAATCAATCTAATAATGTTAGAAGTTATAGTTTTTGTGGTCACTCAGATATTATAACTGGAGTAGAATTCTCATCAAATGGAAAATTAGTTGCAACCTGTTCAAAAGATCAAACTGTAAGATTTTGGATTCCTTCAGTTAAGGGAGAAACATCTGTCTTTAAAGTACATACTTCTTGTGTAAATTGTTTAAGTTTCAGTCCAGATAATTCAAGATTAATCACGGGTTCTAATGACAAAAGTATAAAAGTTTGGGATGTAGCACAAAAACAGTTTATTATGAGTTTATTAGGTCACACTAGTTGGGTACAGAGTGTTAAATATTCATCAAATGGTAGTTTTATTGCTTCAGGTGCAGATGATCATTCTTTGAGAATATGGGACATTAATACTGGTGAGTGTGCACATAAACTTGGAACTGCTAGTAGCAATCCTACTTGTATAGCTATCCATTCAAATAATAATCATGTTGCTGTAGCAATGAACTCTGGTTCTGTTAGAGTTTATGATATTCGAAATGAAAAACTGCGACAACACTACACCCTTCACAAAGGTTCAACAAAGTGTGTATCATGGCATCCAAATAAAAACCTTTTACTTAGTTCTGGAGAAGATGGTAATATTAGAATTGTAGATGTTATGGAAGGAAGACCTATATATACCTTGACTGGACATACAGGTTCAGTGAATACTTGTAAATTTAGTACTGATGGTGAATTATTTGCCTCTGGTGGAGATGATCAACTTGTTATGGTGTGGAAAACAAATTTGTAATTTTTACATGTGAACATTTTGTAAATGATAATTTAAGTGTAACTGTTTACAGTATTGTGAATACTTGAACTTGAATAAGTAAATTCATTGTGTTGTCAACCAAGCAACACCACATAACTTATTTTCTTTTATTTTTCAGTAGAACAAAAACAAAACAAACTACTTTGGTTGACAATGAACACAGCAAAACAGATCTCAATGGCTTTGGTATGGGAACTGAATGAGGTATGTGGTTTTGTGGTTAGAAATGTTATTTGTTGTGGCTTTATTGCAATTACATCAAGATCTGTTGAGATTTTTTCAAATCTAAAGTCATTAAGGTATTCTGTGTGAGAGTTCGCATTAAATGAAACAAAAACCACATTTATCAAATAGTTGAGTTATGTGGTGTTGCTTTGTTTACAGTTTTATATTTTGTGATTTGCATTTAAACTACATGTAGATCATATGAGTATTTTCTAATAGAATTTTGATATGTGTGATATGTTTATTTGTTTAACATTTTCAGGATGGGGGAATTTTAAGTTTTATCAATAAAACATTACCATTTAATGTTTTCATCAGGCAGATACCTCTTTTTGTGTACTTGTGTTCTGTATGTGGTGTAATACATCAGTAATCCACTGATGAACTACTTATGTTGTTTGCAGCAAAACACACAAACCAGTGTGTCACACCTATTGTATAAAGTAATACTGGATTTTAACAGTTGTTACACAACACATGTTTGTGTAACATCAAAAAAATATGACAAAATAGAATTTGAAAAATATTGTGTTTAGAAACTGATGTCATTCCAAATGTGAAAAAAGGTAATAGTTTGTCACTTGATGATAATCAGGTTATAGTTTAGTGTTTAAAAAACTTATTTACCAGAAAATATTACAAAAAGTGTACAAAAAAGATAATATAATTGCTAATAGTTGTAATGGCTACAGTAATGATGACATCATCATCATCATCATCATCTTGGTGCTACAGCCCTTAGAGGGCCTCGACCTTCTCAAGCTTTCTACACCATTCTGTTCTGTCCCTTGCTTGAATTTTCCAGTTGCCGAATCCGATCTTCTCCGCATCTTGTGTTACCCCATCCATCCACCTCAGCTTTGGTCTACCCCGTCGTCTCATTCCCACAGGTTGCGCTGTTAGAATCTTTTTTATCATGTTCGATTCAGGGGCCTGGGCTACATGTCCTGCCCACTGCAGGCGGTTTCGCTTAATTATAGTGGTAATATCTTTACCATCAAATGTATGCTTGTAGATATGATGACCCCCACTTTAAATTTTCATAATTTTGAGGGAAGAACAATTCTTCTATCAGTCTTCTACTGATACCAATTTTTTGCAATTTTCGGTGGGAGAATTGCTATCAATAATTAGTTAATAGGTACAACTCGTTTTAGTTTCCCTGCAATTAAAGAAATTCGACAGGCATGGATATTGTTTTGCAATATAGATGAAAAAGAAATATCTAAACTCCCTCGTATGTCTAATTTACATTTCACTGAAGATTCGCTGAATTTTTAAATTCATATGCATGCAATATTTCTTATTGAAGTCTTCAAACTGTATTATATATTTTGAATCTACCAATTTTTAAAAATACTGCGATGTGTGAAGAACATTATGTTGAAATATGATCTAATCCATACCAACCAAAGCCTAAAAAACAGGTAAGTTCTAACCGATCTAGCTAGCTGACTCTAAGGTGAACTAACTTAATGTTGTAACATTTAATCTAATATAGCATTTTTGCAGAAACTCTTATTAAGCGCACAAGAAGCCAGTGAAAGTTCTGGCATTAGACAATCAACTTAATACTGATTTTTACTGACTAATCAACTAGTACTGATTTTTTCAAGATATTTATGCTAGTAAACATTCAGAATTTTGTTGCATTTCTTATAAAGACATATTACAGTAGACTTCCTCTATAACGAGAACTGAAATGGCAGACTAATTACCTCGTTATAAGCCGATCTCGTTATATCAAACAACAACAATACTGTTCATACATATGAATATGTAGTTTTCTAACACATTAATTTCTTATAGTGAAGCCATTCGGAGTAATATAAGATGCTAAATATTGTTTGAATGCCGTTTTTGAAAAAAAAGTTGTTTACTTTTATTTTCAATGATATACGTTAAACAAAAAGTCTGTAAAACTGTATAAAGTGTATTTTCAAGGATAACATACACTATTGTTTCTGCAATTGGAAGAAGTCTCTTATTTTTGACTGCTTTAATCATCCGTTAGTCGCTGTGTGTACCTCTCCCTATCAACCAACCTCTTGTTAATGTCATCTGCCTGGATACGGTTGTGCGAGTTTTGTAATTATTTTCGGTGCGAGACACCGTAAGGACTAACGGTGTGGCTATTACTTATTGGCAGATCATGTAAATATTTATCATCTATATTGTCTTTTATCGGTAAGTTTTTGTCAATTCTTATTTCTAGATGTTCTTTGAAGCTGAACAAAAACGTTTGTTGGAATTATGGGAAATGGTTCCTACCGACGATGAAAATTATTTTGACGATGAGGGAAGTGAAAATGAAATCAGGAATGAAACCATGGAAAAAGGCTGAAAAGGCAAGAAAATTACGTAGTGCGTTTGCCGATGAAGAGATTACCTACACGTGACTTGAAGATTCCCAGTGATATTTGGAAATATTTCGTGAACATGTTGTATTAGAAATGATTTTAGAAAGTACGAACAAATACATAGAATCAATAAGAAATAACTTTGTTCGCGATCGAGATGCTAGACACACTGATACATTAGAAGTGCAGGCACTAATAGGACTGATTTATTACACAGCACGTCTAAAAGGTAATCGTGTGAAATCAAATGAGTTTTGAAAAACTGATGGATCACTTATAGAAATGTTCCGCCTGACTATGTCCCTCCCACGATTTAAATTTTTCTATCGATGTATACGATTCAATGACAAAGTAACTCGTGAAAACAGACTAAAAGAAGATATTTGGCTCCAATACGATGTTTTTTTCGACACCTTTGTAACCCAATGTAAAATGGATACAGTCTCTCCGAATATGTCACCATCGATGAGATGTTACCCAAAAGTGTCGATTTCGTCAGTATATCCCATCAAAACCAAACAAGTACGGCATAAAAAATGTTGCACTCTTTGATACTACAATGTTTTATACCGCTAATTTAGAGGTATATGTTGTCCAACAACCTGAATGTCGTTTTCAAGTTAGTAAATGACCTACTGATGTTGTTCAATGGCTAGGTTAACCTATTTATAATTCAGGCCGAAATCTAACAGTTGATAACTGGTGCACAAGAATCGAGTTAGTGAACAGGTTATAAGAGAAGAAAATTACAGTAGTGGGAATCATTAGGAAGAATAGGGAATTGCAATTTGAATTCACAAAACCAAATCATCCTGTAAATTCAAGTATGTTTAGTTTTAATCAACATATCACACTAGTTTCTCATATTCCTAAAAAAATAAAAATGTAGTGCTCGTATCCTCACTACGTCATAATGATGCAATTTATTATAGTAAGTATATTTATTATAATAAAAATAAACCAGAAATTATCTCACTATACAATTCAAGAAAAATAGGAGTCGACATGGTAGACT